TTCTGTATTTTCAGATATCATATTATACACGTTGTGTTTATGTAATTAGATCGTGTACATGAAAGTTGCATCTATTAAATAGCATTTGATCGAGTCAAGATATATTTTATTACTGTTGTACATTGTATTCCAATGTCAAATTGTCACTTACTTGCCAATATTTACAGTTAATACTCGACGTTTATGGTTTATTTACTTTAAATACACCTTCACACGTATTTAGTTATCGGAGTGAAACGTAGTATCTACCAATTTGCTCACTTAGTAAATCCTAGACCTGCATATTGTAGACTCTCATCGTAGTGCACTTATTGTTTCTACTTATCAAACTACTAGTAAAGATTGCGTCTGGAGCAGATTCCTTTTGCTATATAAAGTGAGGAAATTTCATACCTTGTAAGGTAAACAAAATACATGTTGATTGGCGCATCTGTTGACAAGTTAGATAATCCGTTGTCACGTGCTTAATTATCTTGTCGTCTATAGTATCGTCGCTGAATTCAGATCGGATGTCTTGTTTTCTTCAATTAGCGGCTTATTAGCACCAACTCGGTTTCACCCTACCAGACAGCCTTACCATGCCAGGCACAATAGACTATATACTTCGAATTATATTTTATGTATATCAGATCTTGGTGATTTTATTAATAATTGTTACATATGGTTTTTACATTGAGCAAAATCACTTGTTCGAAATAATTTCTCAATCCAGCATCACATGCTGCGCTAACTATAAAAAATAATATTTACTCGACGTATATTTAAGATACTGAGTGTTTCTATTCTGACTTTGTCCTTGGCGTTAATTCAAAGTAAAGCACGGGAATATTGAAAAATACTTTGACCTTTCGTAAACTACAATTTGTAAAATACGTTTATTATATGTGTCAAGAATGTCTTAATCGAAGAACTGTAGAGTCCGCCAATTCCCCCGTGGGTTTCTCTGATCTAGAAAACTAACAGTAAACCATTTATAGTGTATCAATGTTCATTTAAAGGTTGGATGATTATTGTCATAGAAACGTTTTTTACAATTTGCAGTTAATTGACTCATTAATTTTGATTGTCGTGTTCCTCAGGGATCACTCGTATTATGGTAATAGATAATTTTCCGCTTGTTTTATGAATGGAACTGTCACAAATGGCAGTAAATAGAAATTTGAAAAAGGCTGGGCGTCGTGTCATAAATATTGAATATTCTAAAAATCGCCAGATAAATACATCATTAATTAAAATGGGACCGGCTTAGCTCCTTGATGAGATATTGCATGATTTCGTCAGGATTTCGTCTAAAATTAAAACAAAATGGCGATATTCGAAAACTGGACGAAATGTCGTTAATGTCTGACATTAGTAACTGGCTGTAAATTCTAAGTTAGCAATCCAGAAGATGTGAACTAATACATTGATCATTTCGTGTGTGTTTTGGAATTTTTGGTGAGGTAATAAGACCAAAACTCGCAATTCAAATTGTGATGCGAAAAAATGGCGGACATTTGATTTCAAATTTTATGATTACGACATGACCCGTTATTCATGCAGGAATTTATCTTTGGACGAAGGCCACGACACAGTGGCCTTAGAAGAAGGTAAATTTTGAGCGTTATCCTAGCATTAGTCTCATTGAGGCTTGACACACCGTTTCTCTAGAAATGGCCTATTTTGAGTTTCTAGCAATCAAAACTGATTTAAACAATTTAAGCTCAACCATTTATGTTCCTATTTATAATCTGATTTTATTCATGAATCAAACATCATTATTTTAATTGTATAGTTCACCAAATAACAATTTATCTGTTGATTCTATTACTTATTTCAGGCTTCAATTGCATCCTAGGCGAAGTGAAGGCGGAATCGAGTTAGGAAAAGACGATCCTACCAAAAATGAATAAATTCAGTACTACAAAGTCTGTATGTTAATTGTGTGGACATAGAGGATAATTATATACACTCCCCTCCATAAGTTTGGCAACCGTTTTCTGTACGTTTTATCTTTTGTTAAAGCCCCTCTATATTTTTAATTTTTATTTTCATAAACTGCAACAAGAAAAATGATAACGAAGGCGGAGATGTAATTTTACTGTATTTCCCATACCTCCAAATTTTTCGTCAATAACAATAGTTCGAAAATTGATGACAAATTTAATGACTTTTTAAACATTTAATTAAGTTTACAATTTTGGAAATCATTTTTCCACTTTCCACCTTTTTAAACCTGGAGAAACATATCGATTTTGTGATAGATAAAGTGAGCAAATCCAATTGTCTACTTAACTTGTATTTTTGAAAGAACTAGTATAGGATGGATGGGTATTTCATCATATGACTTGCGGCAAACCTACCATTTCCCATTGGTTTACATGGGAATGTCGATTTTCAAAAATTCTTCAAATTCATCAATTTTCCATGGCCACGTATTGTAATGGGAGCCAGGACTCGTATAGATGGCAGTTAACTACTACGTTGTTCTTCACATCTGTCTTATACTCCTATTCGCGATAAGAGTTCAGGTGGTAATTTACATAAATATGATGCATCACTTTGGAATGGACAAATTTTCGATTACTCTGAACGCAGGCCCGTAAGACACTTTTCTCCAAGGGGGGTGCGGTTTTTAGCTTACTAAAGAGAATATAAAATTGTCAATTTTTTTGCCGCGTAAATCAAATCGCGTAAGACAGAGGGGGGAGGGGTCAGTTACTCCCTGTATTGGTTTGGAATTAACAAAATGCAACTTCCAAACGTTCCAATTGTGTGAGGAGTGGTCCACTCCCCCTAGAAAATTTTACAGTTTCAAAGTGTAAGTTTCTAAGTAGTACGCCACCACCACGGGAATAAGAGTTGAGTGAATAAAAAACCGAGCATTCAGGTGGGTCTGGGGGTTCTCCCCCAGGAAAATTTAGAAATTTGGTTGTATTTGGAGCGAATTTGTAACCATCTGGTACACCTGTGCGTTATGAGTCAATAAGAAAAATGTGATTTTTTTTTCAAATTCTTTTGGGGGTGTCAAAGAGGATGAGAGTGTGAAGTGGGGTGGGATGCCAGTAGGGGAGCAAGGGGTTGCAATTGTCCCCCAGAAACATTGACCATATCAAGGTGCTATTTAATGATGTCTGGGCACTTAAAAAATGTCTGAGACAATACATGAAATTCAGAATATTTTCTTTTGTTTTGTGGGGGATGTGAGGGGTGGCTAACTCTCCTAGAAAATTTTACAGTTTAAAGATGATATTTGGTGCTTCTGGGCACTTTTAAAGTGTATTAGTCAATAAAAACATTGAAAAACAATCACAATTTTTTTCAAATTTTGGGGGTGTCAAAGGGGGGGGAGGGATGCCAGAGGGGGAGGTGGGGCTTGGGTGCCAGAGGGGGAGCAAGTGTTTGTCCCCCATATCAAAATTTACAATATCAAGGTGCTATTCGATGAAGTTTGGCCTATTCGATGAAGTTTGGGCACTTTAAAAGTGTCTGTGCCTAAAAGTGCCTATTTCCCAAGAAAATTTTACAATTTTAAGATGCTATTTGGTGCTTTCTGGGCACTTTCAAAGGGTATGAGTCAATAAAATTTTTTGAAAAATCTCAATTTTTTGGGGGGGGGGGGTGTTAAGGGGGGGGGGGGGCTGCCAGAGGGGGAGGTGAAGTGGGGATGCCAGAGGGCGAGTAAGTGTTAGTCTTCCAGAATCATTAACGTTATCAAAGAGCTATTTGATGATGTCTGGGTAATTTAAAAGTGTCTGAGACAATACATAAAACAAATTCAGAACTTTTCCATTGTTTTGTTTGGGGTGTGAGTCGTTGCCCACTCCCCCTAGAAAATTTTACAATTTTACGACACTATTTGGTGCTTTCTCGGCACAAGTGTATGAGTCAATTAAAGAATTTGAGAAAATCACAATTTTTTTCTGGAGGGGGGGGTCAAGGGGGGGGGGGCGCCAGAGGGGGGAGGGGGTTATGCAAGTGCAAGATGCAAGAGGGGGAGCAAGTCCCCCAGAAACACTAACTACAGTGTATATTAAGGAGCTATTTGATGATGTCTGGGCACTTTAAAAGTGTCTGAGACAAAACACTAAAATAAATTTAGAACTTTTCCATTGTTTTGCGGGGGAGTGTGAGGGGTGGCCAATACCCCTAGAAAATTTTACAATTTTAAGATGCTATTTGGTGCTTTCTGGGTACTTTCAAAGTGTATGAGTGAATGAAAAAAAAATTACAAAAAAATATTTTTCAAAAAAAAAATTTTCAAATTTTTTTTTTCAAATTTATTTTGGGGGGTGACAAAGGGGGGTGCGGTCGCACCCATCGCACCCCCCCATCTGACGGCCCTGTGAACGTTTCTCAGCTTCTGATCTTCCATCAGCCCTCAAGCATAGTTATATGATCCATGCAACACTGCGTCAAAGGCACTTAAATCTCCATGGGATTAATAAACTATTTATTGATTATTAAGAAAAATAATTCAACAATCACCGTTAATAACTGTTTATCGTTTAGATAGATATCACTAAATACCAACTAGGTATTTAAGTCATATACCGTTTTTCAAATAACCCATGAATGGTGTTGGTTATTTATGATGTATTTATTTACAGCTTGGAATGTATTAGTAGTTTATTAATGTGTATTTATCAAAGTCATGTTAATACACAGGGGTATCTATTTGGGTATTAATGCCATGTGACCCGAGTTACGCAATACATATTATTCTGTTTATACTAATATCAATGAGTATTTATGGTATTTATAACCTAACGTTGATACTCCGATTGGCTTTTACTGGGTATCAATGGACATTTGGGCCATGTGTCGTCATTTATGACATAAATATCTAAACGCATTTGCGCTAAATTATGAGGTATTTATCTGATCATCACGTTTTATAATAGGATTTCTTTATGGATAGGGGGGGGGGGCGCTGTGGTATATACTCTGTCCTGCCTATAATATTGTAGCATATTAATACGATATGACCTTGCTTCACTTTCATAAATAAGGCGAAAATGTACAATTTTTAATAGCTTTTATTATTATCTCTATAATGATTTTACACTCAGTAGCTAGTCATGCATTTACAGGAAGTGGATGAAATCGAACATATCTGTGAAAGGCTATGAAAAATAATACAAATAATTTGAATGAGAGTCATGAAACTTTCAGAACTTGATTGTCGTTATCCTACTTTCATATTGCTAAAATATGAAAGGTATAACCCTATAATGATTTTATTAACTGTGTTATTTGTTGCATTCAGTTTGGGACCGTAAGCTTCGTCCATGTAACACGGGCACGGAACACGGGATTGTACAAGACTTACGCCCTTACTCGACCACACCAGGGTATTTCCCTTGCCATTTCTTAGGCTTTGATCTCTCAGAGGGTCCACTAAGCTTTCTCTCATGGATGTAGTCTCTAAGTTTACGGTCCTTAATTCGTTTATCGATGATTTTGATGTAGTTGTTAAAACGTTCTGTTCTCCATCGTGGAGTTCTCAAGTTAACCGTCTTTGTTTCATTGTCGAACTCCTCGTCGGACATTATTTCTGTTGTCCCTCCAACACTCCACAAATGGAACTCAGTGTCTCCTTCACTGGGCACCTTTCCTCTCCATAGTTTAGTCTAAAACAATAAAATGCATGTGTTACATTAGCATCTGCAATATTGAAGCTCTTACCTACTACCACCCCTGGGAATGAAATGGGATTGGACCTACTTACTGCCAAAGGATTGTACCTACTTACTGCCACAGGATTGTACCTAATTATTGCCACGGGATTGTACCTACGTTTAGCCACACCATTGTACCTACGTAAAGCCACATGATTGAAACTACTTATTGCCACAGGATTGTACCCACTTACTGCCACAGGATTGTACCTACTTATTGCCAAAGGATTGTACCTACTCACTGCCACAGGATTGTACCTACTTACTGCGACAAGATTGTACCGACTCACTGCCACAGGATTGTACCTACTTATTGCCACAGGATTGTTCCTACGTATAGCCACAGGATTGTACCTATGTATAGCTACAGGATTGTACGTACGTATAGCCACAGGATTGTACCTACGTATAGCCACAGGATTGAACCTACGTATAGCCACAGGATTGTACCTACGTATAGCCGAAGGATTGTACCTACTTAATGCCACAGGTATGTACCTTCTTATTGCCACAGGATAGTATCTACTTACTGCCACAGGTGTGTACCTACGTATAGCCACAGGATTGTACCTACGTATAGCCACAGGATTGTACCTACGTATAGCCACAGGATTGTACCTACGTATAGCCACAGGATTGTACCTACGTATAGCCACAGGATTGTACTTACGTATAGCAACAGGATTGTACCTACGTATAGCCACTGGATTGTACCTACTTAATGCCACAGGTATGTACCTTCTTATTGCCACAAGATAGTATCTACTTACTGCCACAGGTTTGTACCTACGTATAGCCACATGATTGTACCTACGTATAGCCTAGGGATTGTACCTACGTAAAGCCACATGATTGTACCTGCAAATAGTCACAGGATTGTACCTACGTATAGCCACAGGATTGTACCTACGTATAGCCGAAGGATTGTACCTACGTATAGCCACAGGATTGTACCTACGTATAGCCACAGGATTGTTCCTACGTATAGCCACAGGATTGTACCTACGTATAGCCACAGAATTGTACCTACGTATAGCCACAGGAATGTACTTACGTATAGCCACAGGATTGTACCTACGTATAGCCACAGGATTGTACCTACGTATAGCCATAGGATTGTACCTACGTATAACCACAGGATGATACCTACGTATAGCCACAGGATTGTACCTACTTAATGCCACAGGTATGTACCTTCTTATTGCCACAAGATAGTATCTACTTACTGCCACAGGTTTGTACCTACGTATAGCCACAGGATTGTACCTACGTATAGCCTAGGGATTGTACCTACGTTAAGCCACAGGATTGTACCTACGTATAGCCACAGGATTGTACCTACGTAAAGCCACAGGATTGTACCTGCAAATAGTCACAGGATTGTACCTACGTATAGCCACAGGATTGTACCTACGTATAGCCGAAGGATTGTACCTACGTATAGCCACAGGATTGTACCTACGTATAGCCACAGGATTGTACCTACGTATAGCCACAGGATTGTACCTACGTATAGCCACAGGATTGTACCTACGTATAGCCACAGGATTGTACCTACTTATAGCCACAGGATTGTACCTACGTATAGCCACAGGATTGTACCTACGTATAGCCACAGGATTGTACCTACGTATAGCCACAGGATTGTACCTACGTATAGCCACAGGATTGTACCTACGTATAGCCACAGAATTGTACCTACGTATAGCCACAGGATTGTACCTACGTATAGCCACAGGATTGTACCTACGTATAGCCTCAGGATGGTACCTACGTATAGCCACAGGATTGTACCTACGTATAGCCACATGATTGTACCTACGTATAGTCACAGGATTGTACCTACGTATAGCCACAGGATTGTACCTATGTATAGCCACAGGATTGTACATACTTATTGCCACAGGATTGTACCTACGTATAGCCACAGGATTGTACCTACGTATAGCCACATGATTGTACCTACGTATAGTCACAGGATTGTACCTACGTATAGCCACAGGATTGTACCTACGTATAGCCACAGGATTGTACCTATGTATAGCCACAGGATTGTACCTACTTATTGCCACAGGATTGTACCTACGTATAGCCACAGGATTGTACCTACGTAAAGCCACAGGATTGTACCTACGTATAGCCACAGGATTGTACCTACTTATTGCCACAGGATTGTACCTACGTATAGCCACAGGATTGAACCTACGTATAGCCACATGATTGTACCTGCGAATAGTCACAGGATTTTTCCTACGTATAGCCACAGGATTATACCTACGTATAGCCACAGGATTGTACCTAGGTATAGCCACAGGATTGTACATACTTATTGCCACAGGATTGTACCTACGTATAGCCACAGGAGTGTACCTACGTATAGCCACAGTATTGTACCTACCTTTTGCCACAGGATTGTACCTACGTATAGCCACAGGATTGTACCTACATATAGCCACAGGATTGTACCTACGTATAGCCACAGGATTGTACCTACGTATAGCCACAGGATTGTACCTACGTATAGCCACAGGATTGTACCTACGTAAAGCCACAGGATTGTACCTACATATTGCCACAGGATTGTACCTACTTATTGCCACAGAATTGTACCTACGTATAGCCACAGGATTGTACCTACGTATAGCCACAGGATTGTACCAACGTATAGCCACAGGATTGTACCTACGTATAGCCACAGGATTGTACCTACGTATAGCCACATGATAATACCTACGTATAGCCACAGGATTGTACCTACTTATTGCCACAGCATTGTACCTACTTATTGCCACAGGATTGTACCTACGTATAGCCACAGGATTGTACCTACGTATAGCCACAGGATTGTACGTACGAATAGTCACAGGATTGTACCTATGTATTGCCACAGGATTGTACCTACGTATAGTCACAGGATTGTACCTACGTATAGCCACAGGATTGTACCTTCTTATTGCAACAAGATAGTACTTACTTACTGCCACAAGATAGTACCTACTTACTGCCACAGGTATGTATCTTCTTATTGCCACAAGATAGTACCTACTTACTGCCACAGGTTTGTACCTTCTAATTGCCACAAGATTGTACCTACTTATTGCCACAGGATTGTACCTACTTATTGCCACATGATTGTACCTACGTATTGCCACAGGTGTGTACATACTTACTACCACGGGATCGTACAACAAACTAAATACATGAACAAAATTAAACTAAATACAAATAAAGAATAATTAAACTGAAAATCAAACTGCAATCGACTTTTTGTAGACGGTTTATTTATATTGTCAAGATTTATAAAATGGTAATACTTACTGTTTACGTAGAAGATGAATATAAATTCCATGTATACATCATTCCTCAAATATTTCATAGCATCGGATTTCGAAGCACGAATGGTGTGGTTATAAAGTGCAAACATAAAATCTTTGATATTATGTGTATGACCGTTTTCGGAACTGAAAAACAAGACAAAACGTCTCCCCATCTTAACTGAAACTATTTCAAATCTTCATGACTGTGTATTATACATTAGCATTGTGACCTACTTAGACATCCGACTGGCACTTGTAATCTGATACTGCTACCTACTGATACGCTTGTACTTTATTAATGGTTATTTACAGGAATATATCATAAATAACCAATGGGGTATTAAACGGATTTAAGTGATTTCCCTAAATCAGATAAATACCACGAGGTATTGTTGCATGGTTGAAATAAGCAGTAAATAACCTAACTCATCGATGATATTTTGATAAATCAGGTAAATACGCATAAATAACCGAATAGATATAAACGTATAAATACAGACGTGTCCATTAATGTTCATTAAAGCGATTTTCGGGTTTAATAATCAACTAACTATTTGCGGGATTTAGTGGTATTTACTTTATTTCACACAGTGCAATCTATTCAATAATCAAAAAGATAATCGGAGATTCAAAGTAACATTATTTATATTTTTCGATCTTCGATGGCGTCTGAGCAATTTCTGGGATATCAGTGACGTCACTGGAATTGCGCGGCGTTTTCAACAACAGATTTTTTCGGATTTGGGAATTATAGTTCAAAAAGCTTTGTCATATCGTATATCTTAATTACATACATATCTATCTTTTGTGCAAATGAATACATAAATGTTTAATAGAGTCGCAGTGCGGCATTGAAAATAGCACCCCTGTACCAGTCAATGGGAAAGAACCCGGTAGTAGACGAAGTTCTTCAAACGGGAGGTAGCTAAACTGAACTAAATTAAACGTTATCGCGTATTGGTACAAGTATATTGGTTTGTGTGTAAATATTGCTGTTTTAAAGTTAAAATTCACTACACATATCAAATAAATATCATATTTTCCTTCATTATTATTTACAAACATGTTTTAAGATTCAAAATTATGAGGTTTTGGATATTTTCAATAAAATTTATTTCGCGAGATTTTTGGAGCAACTTTTACATGTTAAAGTATGCTATTAAACTCACTGAATTCTATGCCATCTATTGGCAGTCCTGAAGGCCATTGAAGAAAAAATTAGGAAAAGTCAACTAACATATCTATTTGCATTATTTCTTTTTCTTTTTTTTGCAGGTTATGAAAATAAAAATTCAAACATCGAGAGGCTTTAACTGGTAAGTCTGGAGAAAAAGGAACTGCTCAGTTCATGTCGAAACAATTGAATCGAACGTGTACTGGTGACGGAAGTGTCAGTTAAAGTAAAAATTTAAATCTCCCACTACAAATTACGACGTTAAATAATTGTCAAAAAATCGGCAATTCTCGATTTATGGTGCATGTGTATGTTCACTGAGATTTTAGGTTTCTTTATGTATGTGCAGTAAAAGCATCGATAGTCATTTCAATGGCCATCCCCTAAACATGAAACAAACAAAAATATATTGAAAAAACAATAACATGACATAATGACATAATTAAATTATGTTTAAGGAACATCCATACCAAGTTTCAAGACGATGAGTCAAGAGTATTGAAATAGCAACACGGCTTTTGATGACGCCTGGATCACCCTGTATGCACTATGTTTGATTATCTTTGTATTTCTTAAAGTGCCAATTCGGTAATTTCCTTTTTCTCTTTACACAAATAGATTCAATGTGTATTGGTTGGTAGAAACAGTATACCAACAGACTCACATCTTCATCTGATTGTCTTTCAGTGCCAAAATAAGA